ATCTCTCTCTCTACTTTCTCTCCCTCTTTCTCTGTTCCTCTCTCACACACATACAGACACACGGTGGGTGCATATAGATCTAGATCCATGTGTGCTTCTTTGTTTGTGTGAGTGGGAAGGGGGATGAGTGGGTGTTGAAATATGTGTTGTGGATAAACATCTGAAATAATCTAAGAGAAATGCAACACATCTTATATATTCAACCGGAACAGCGCCTAAGAAGAATAATTTTTTTGTGCAGCAATGCTATTTCATATATAAAGTCTGATCCCATTAACAAAAACCCAAAAACCTGTTTTAAATTAGGCGGTACCGCTATCCCTTTCATTCAGAACCGTGCGTCCACTCCAGTTTGTTTTATTTTTTGTAAGCGTTCTACAGCTCTTGCAACACAATTAGGTCGTATAAGTGCAAAAAATTGAGCGTGTTACAAGACAGTAATAAACACAACATTGAAGGAGAAGTTATAAGGATTATAGATGTTTGATAGGAAAGGAGCAAACCACACCAGAGAACCTGACAACTACCCACGCGACTCAAGTTGATTGACTGAAATGGATATTTGAAAAACGATAGTAGTTGGTTGGCGGGTTCTCTGATTTGGTTTCCTTGTTCTTTCCTATCAAACACCCATCGTCCTTTTCTCTCCTCCATTTTTTGTGTACGTTACTCTTTGAAGACCTCTAATCTTCGGTACTTATATAACCTAATCGTGATGCAAGTGCCGTAAAACTCTTACACAAGCATAAAATGAAAAAGAATGAAAGTGTATAACATCCCAGTTTACGAGATGTGGGACACACGACGTACAGTACGGATGCTTGCTCACTAATGCTCACCCGCACACGCTTGACAGCCATTTATAGGTAGGCCTACCAATCAAATTAATCATTCAAATATCTCATCTTAACCTGGCTCTACCCTTTGAATCCTAAGGCAAATCCACTATATTTAAACGTTAAGATAGATAGATGGATGGATATATGGATGGACGGACGGACGGACGGACGGACAGACAGACAGACAGACAGACAGACAGACAGACAGACAGACAGACAGACAGATAGATAGACAGATAGATAGATAGATAGATAGATAGATAGATAGATAGATAGACAGATAGATAGATTGATAGATAGATAGATAGAATGATAGATAGATAGATAGATAGACAGATAGATAGATATATAGATAGATAGATAGATAGATAGATAGATAGATAGATAGATTGATAGATAGATAGATAGATAGACAGATACTGAATGAAATCTTGATAAAAAAAGCATGGGAAAAACAAATAGATCTACCCCAGGCCTGTTCTAACCGTTGTTTGAATAGTGCTCTTCGTAACAGGTACTTAGGTCACCCGCCGTGTGTGAGATGCATGAGCATACATTTAATTTCTGTCAACAAATTTATTATTGTTTGAGTTAAGTTGGGGGTTTTTCTTCTTAAAAACACGAAGGCTTTCACTGATGTCCCAACATGTGCGACATTTTTCCCAGCAGAAAATTCCTCTATTCTGTAAAATCAGCAATTGTTTATTTTACAGACATGAAGCTGTATAATATATACCAAGAGAAATATGTGTTAAATTCAACCCTTGTTCTAAATGCACTTTTCATCCCACTCAAGTTAAAGTAAAGTAAAGTAAGATACAAGCTGCCTCAGTCTGGAGACATACGAAAGGAACGGTAAAAAAAAACAACCAGACACTGCAAAACCAGGATGTAATCGCACGTAACTACATAATGTGGCTTCAAACTTGATCAAAATATTATTATAAGCTACTTTTTATGCCGGCAACCAAGAAGATCCCACGCGAAGTAATGGGCGCTATCTGCCAGCGTTTCATATAGATGGGAAAAGAGCGGACGGAAAAAGCAATGGAGCACTGAAAATTTAAGAGCCCATTTTTTTTAATTTACATTTCTTTTTTTTATTCTTGGGTTTTTTGCGAGCGTGCATGCTTGATATAGCACAGAACAAGTCATGAAAGGGTGACCCCATGTCCTCGGGTCGCATTCGCCTTCTGGCCATCGCCAGTCTTCATGGGAACTGAACACGCACAATAAGGATTATGTTTGAGCGCGTTTTTATCCGTCTTAGAAAGCGGAGAAGGGGGTAAACTATGCTGTTGAAATACACTGACTCGAAGTCGATGTAGATATGGGTGGTGATGTTTGATGACATGAATAATCAGGCGTGTGAACACAATTTCAGACCATACTTCGTTGATTCAGGATATGACTTCCGACAAAGTGAGTACGTTACATGTCATGCCAGCTTGAGCTCTTTAAAAACCGTTACTTTATAATGGAATAATAATTGTACACCCTTTTCCGTTTAGGGGTAATCTGGCAACGCTTCTGGGCAGACTGTGAAACTGTAGTAATAACGTTGACGTGTGGATATTTGAAACATTCTGTTACTGTTAGTATCACGACATAAATTTTGAACCGAAAAACAAAACAACTGCTCGTAGCTGATTTCTTTTTCTTTTTTATTTAGGTTGAGCTTCTGCTTTCTTCTGCTT